TATCCCATCAAATATATTCTTAAGTTTAAGCATTAGTATTATGGTGAAGAATTAATATGAACTTATTCAAGTTAAAGTTAGGTCTGAGAAAATTACTTTCTAATTTAATTTTCTGCAAGTAATTGCTGAAAATTAAATTTTACTACAAATTTGGGGAAAATGTCACTTTTACTTTAACATGTAATTACAAATGATTAAAAAAAGAATTCAGTAATAGTTCATGCAAATGGAAGCGGAGAAAAACCTACATGCAATTTGCAGATGATTTAATTTAAAAGCTATGAAATCCAATTTGGTGCTGTGCGACAAAGTATTGTAATTTGAACCTGCAATTCAAATAATAGATGTTGTTTCAAGACCAAGAAAACTTAAGGTTGAGTTTATTCAGTCTTGAAAACTCCTCCAGGATTGAGGAGATTTCAATCTTGTTTAACTAGTTTTATTCTTCTCTGTTGCAGATTGGATCCGTTTCTATAGTTGTCTTAATTATGCTCTTAATTGTGCTATGGCTAGGAGTTTCATGGTTGAAGTGTTTCATTACAACATTTGCCATCTCCTTCTTTGTCAGTATTCCTTGGAACTGGCTCTATCTGTACAAGGTGAAACAGAGCTTGTTATTTTCTTCTTTAGTTTTGTTCTCATTCAGTGTATAACAATTTACATTTCTCTTTTTGTTTTTCATTTGATTAGGAGGCCTATGCAAAACACCAGAGCAAAATCATGAAAGTGGAAATAATCCATCAAGAGTGCATGAGACTACAGAATCTTAGCTGGTTTGATAGTCTTCTAGGTAAGCCAGAAAGAGCTAAGAATAAACAGATTTTTAAAATGAAATTGGTTCTTTGGTCAAGTCAGGGAAAAACGTAAAGGTTATGAATCCTGATTTACAGGGAAGCATTCAACCTTTAAAGAATTAGACTGCATTACTCTCACTTTATTACTTGTGAAAATTAAATACGATTTTGTTTAACACCTATAACACATAAGATGGGAACCGCACTATCCTATAGGCTTATTGACTCTGTTATCAAAATGTGTCTCTTGAACAAAAGCAAACTTCCAACAGGAGACACAGCTGGAGGAAAAATAATCTTTAAAAAATAATTTGATAAAATTGTATAGAAGAAAGATCAGCTGTTTCAGCAATCTGAGTTGTTGAACATCTAGAACTTTACATGAAATGTATAAACCTACTGAACTTTAACATCATCTTACATTTAAAGATAAAATTAAATCAAACTTTGTGAAAGAAACATAACCTAAATGGTTCAGCTGGCACTTCAAGATGAGATTTAGCAACATCTGAAAGGAGCATTTTGGAAACACCACAAATAAACTTAAAGAACAATCACCTCATTGCAAAAAGGTCATAGGTTTGAATCCCAGCCTGGATCATTTTTGGAGTTAGCATGCTCTAACTGTACATGTCTTGGCTCTCTATGGGTACCCTGGCAAGGATAAGTGGGTTTGATGGATGGTTGGAACAACCCCTCAAATCAAACATGAAATAAAAGTACTTTGAGATGGACAGCTGGTTAGCTTAAATGCTTATTAACATTTAACACAGGTTAGGACGTTGTGTCATCCTAAACTACAGCTAGCAAAGTTCAGACCTGAAGAGTTCAGACACATTTCTCTGTGAAGTTTGAGCATCATTAAACTTCACAGAATCTCTTCTGCCAGAAACAACTTCTCATGAAATCAGTAAGTTGATGGATTGCACATGCAGTAGTAGTGCAGGAGAAGTAACAATAGTTAAATTCTCAAAAGCTACAACCCTCAACTATGTCAATTTCATTTGATTCAGATGTGTTGGAGAAGGAGCACATCTAAACGTTGCAGGACTGTAGCTCTCAAGAACTGGACTGGAACATCCTTCAGTTAGAGAAAGTAGAAAAAGGCTCATGACACTGTACAGATCCAAACCAAGACCCAAACCCTTAACCTAAGTTTGATTAATATATTCTGAAACATTGAGGTGACTAAATGCATACAATGCACTTATTTACTGTACACAGAGTCAATACTGAACTAGCTTGCAATCAGTGGTGGGTCAGAAGAACTTCAAGTGTCAAATATCTATTATCAGCTATGAATAGTGTAGAAGCTCCCAAACAAAATGTTCATATTCAGAAATTTTATAAGCTATTAAATAAGATATTAAATTGCTTTTTTGTTTTTGAAGCTATTGATACTAAGGACAGCATGTATAATGTCTAAGTATTTTTTTTGCCTATATTTATATTTCATGATTTAAATTCCACTCTTTCAGTTTTCCCTTTTGAGGCATTTGTAATACTACGGAAAGTGAAGAAAATGGCACAGAGAATATGTAAAGCTTTTATCTGCAACTGTAATCTGTATGGTCATTTGTGATTGTAGTTTTTTTTATTTTCAGAATGGTTCAGAACCACTTGGACTTTTCAAAGAGACCCTTGTGAGGAATACCGAAAGATCTTGCTAATTGACCCGTTTCTCGAGGTACCGCCATTCAAGGTAAACCTCTCTGCTGGTGTTGCAAGGCTAATCCCATGTTGGATTTGGGAGTTGCTTGGTCTGAAATTGTTTTCTGTTGATGTTCAAAGCAACTTTAAATGTTTTTGCCTGCAAATAACAACATTTATCCAGTGTCTTTTTTACTGTTGATTTTAGGACTTAACATTTTAAAGATGATATTGTGGCAACAATATCATATCATATCATATCATATCATATCATATCATATCATATCATATCATATCAACAGTGGCCACAAGGAAGTGCTGCATGAGGAAAACAAAATTGCTTCTCTCATAGCATCAAGTCCTTTTACACTATTCAGTGTTGCTGTGGTGAATGTTTTGCCCCCTTTTATGTTTTCCTATACTCTACAGTAATTTTGACTGACTGCTCTTAAAAATGTAATATACACAACATAAATTTTGTTTTGATTTTTATTTTAAAGGGTAATAATTATTTGTTAGTCTTTTTTCCTTTTCGTAAACAGAAGGTTGCATGAGGTCTCTAAAGGTATTGCATGATTCTTCAATATGAAATAAATATATACACTGAAATATAGTCATGAAAACTCCCATGTTCCTCATAGCAGTTTAAGTCTTTGCTCATCAATTCACGTGGCTATAATCACACAGATAGTCCTGATTCATAGTCAGAAAATAAATATATACCTCATGAACAGAAAGTTGTATCATGACATCCATCTTTTTCCTTTCTTAGGCATTTATGTACACATTGACCACCTTCATCATAGAGCCACTGAAGGCCTTAGGAGAAGGGATAGGTGGTTTTTTTCGAGCACTCCTCAAAGATCTGCCACTTTTAACCTGGACACTAGTCCTCATCATTATCACCATATTCATTTTGGTAAAGGTATGTCATCATGACACTCACGCTAATAAATTAATCCACAGTATATCTCTTCACTGGTATTTAAGTCTGACTTTGTTTTCCACCTTTATGTCTTGGACTGATAGGTAGTTCTTATGGGAGGACTGCTAGTAGTTTTCCATCAGCAACCCAGACGTTTTCTACCCTGGTTGTATAGAAACCAGGGTAGAAATGTAAATACACAAGCACCTAACCAACTCCAAAATGACAATGTCAGGTTAGAGCAGATTGTCATTCATCAAAGCCAACCCAACGGCACCAAGGGAGAGATCAATATACAGTTTCTAAGAAGTGCTGGCCGTCCACATATTGAGGAGGTTCCTGACGTTGAAGGGCGCCAGGGAAGCACTGATGAGAGGAATAATATCTCTGTTAAGTACAGCTTTGAAGACCAGCAGAAGATACAGGAGGAAGTCAGGTTTAGTTCTGTGACTCCAACAGACCAAGCAAAAGGCAATCAACCTAAATTAGATTATTCACAGGCAAAGAATAAAAAAGTAAAAGCAGAGAAGGAAGGTTCTCATGATGAGCCTTGTGGAGACGCCACAGCACCTGCACCTCGGGCGTACAGGTGAGTTAGTTATTATAATCATTCAGCTAAATCAGTCTAAGATTATGAAAGCACATTTTAACACTGTAACGTTGTGATGTCACAGCATGTGGAAAAATGGGACTCATTTTTGCTAATCTGTCCATGCAGGAGAAAAGGCTTCAGCATCCCAAAGATTCATACTGAAAATGTTTCTGCTCAGAAAATATGATCAGCTCCAACGGATTACCTGTATTTAAAGCTCAAAGCTAAATAACATCAATATTTACTATCAGTGATGACAGTTCACTTCGAAGTGCAGTAATTGGATTCAAATTAAGCTGAACCAACACTGAGCAGTTTATTATCTGGTCTGCAGCACTGTGGCTGCATTAAGGAAGAGCTGAGTGTATCAGGAGGACTTTGTTTACATTGATTCTCTCTTAAACTGATTTAGTTCAGACTTTTTTTTAACACTGGGTTTAAATATTTTATCTATTTCCTATAATCACGGTGCTGGAGCTATACTAAAGGATAGATTCATGAAGCCTGAATGTGCAATAACCAAATACTTGGTTTAGTATGATAATTTAAGCTTCTTGTTTGCATTAAACACTTACAACTTGAAATATTGACATTTAAGTAATTTTGGAATGTCTGTTTTTAATTTTTTTAATTATTTTTTTCTCTAGAAATTAAAGTCATTATAAGATATATAAAAATAGTGCAGACAATATGAATGAGTGCAATACATTTTGCTTAAATTCTTAAAAACTATAAAGCAATTAACTTTAAAAACAAATATTTTTTACATACTTTGTGAGTTACTGTCAAAGATACAGATGTCCTTTTGTACAGGTATGTTGTAAGACATGCAACATAAAAAGCAAAAACAGAGGCCACATTATACATTTAACATTTAACAAGTTTAAAATTAGGATTAATATTTAAAAGTGGACTTGACATTCTTGAAGGATATTTTGGATTTTCAGCTCATATTGACTGCTGCGGTAGGAAATTGGACTCTTGCTTTATTTGTTCTTAAAAAAAAAAAAAATCTTCCTGACTCTACTTGTGCTTAAAAAGATTTTAAGGTTTGCACAGACATTGTTTCTTTCTTCATAAAATGGGCTTGGTTTTTATATAAATAAATATGTAATTAGTAAATGTGTCCAGGAACTAGACAACCATGTAATAAAGTTATTACAGACCCAGATAAGCATCCAGTCATCTGTGTGTGCCTGTCATTGAAAATGTTAAAACATCTCAAGTTCTGTAATATTTGAAGGGATTCAAGGTTTTCTTTTTACTGTTTGTACTTTTGCACAGTTGGTGTTACACTTCCTGTTTGTAATAAAAAGATGTTGAAATATTGTTTGTATTCTATTTTTATACCACATCACATAAAATGTTAGCTTTTTGAAATAAAATAGAAACCAGAGAAATTACATGTAATGCCTCTGGAATAATAATAATAATAATAATAATAATAAAAAAAGAAAAAATGATTTGTTTTACTTTCTGTTTTTCTATCTAGAGTGAAAATAAAGTGAGGTAGAAGTTTGGTGGGGATAAAGATGAGAAATTAAACTGCAGATGTAGGTATGTGACTTTTTTTTTTGAAAGTGTAAGGATTCTGTTTCGTTTCCCCAGAATTTAAGTTATTTAACAAGATTTCAAGAACAAAGTTGTCTTAGCTTTTTTTTTAATTCTCTATTTCTCCTTATCAAGCAGTCTGTTACTGTATAAGCTGAGAGCTTCCAGCAGCACGTCTACCAACAAAATCAACCAGAACACATGGTATACATAAACCAACATATGGATGTCATGAATGCATATTGCATGTCCATTTAGTGGGGAGAGGCTCATTAAAATGATCAAAAAATACCCAACTCTGACCCTCAGCAGTTAAATAAATAAAGAAATACAAAGTAAAGGCACATAACTGTAATATCCATGCATTATCTATACCCACTGATCCTTGCAGGGTCACAGGGGTGCTAGTATTTGATAACTACCATTAAAACAAGCAACAACCTGACAAAAGAACCCTGCGGTTGGTCATTATCAAATCATTTTTTAATGAAAAACACAAAAAAATTGTAGTATTCAAAATAATTTTAAGGTGAAATACTGATCTCAAAACCTTTGCAAGCTCTTCAGTTTGTGGAGAAACTTTGAAAACCTCTCAAGTCTTCTGGTTCTGGTCTGGAGAAGCAGCAGTCAGCTTCTATGCACCTCAAATCTGGAACAAATTTCCAGAAAACTGCAAAACTGGTGAAACACAGTTCTCTTAAATCAATGCTAACCCCCCACCTGTTCAGAGCTGCATTAAATAAATGGAACATTGACCAACATACATAATGTGTATCCATGATTTTGATGATGACACTCATCAAAATGTAATATTTGTTGGTGTATGGTGTTTTTAATGACTTTGTATTGTTGTGCTTTTATGACATGAAACACTTTGAACTGCCTTATTGTTGAACTTTGCAATGTACAAGAAACTTGTTTGATTGAAAATACTGCAAAGTAGATTTATTTACTGATTTATTACAACATACTTTTTGGACACAATATGGTGAAAGGATAAATTTGTCATCTCTGTGAAAAAAAAACTATGATCACTTAAATGATTATAGTCATTTAAATGATTTAAAAACCATTAAAAAATATTCTAATTTTAAATTAGAATATTTTAGCGCATTTCTGTTAATTTGGCTGTTGTAGCGCTCCATAGTTGACTCTTTGACCACAAATTGCGCACCTGAGCCCCTCCTGAACTCGGTTGCTGATTGGCTGACTGGACGCCACACAGGAAAGCTCAGCTGCAGGGAGTTTTTTTTTTTTTACTCGTGGTCTGTGATCGCTGTCACAACCTCACGAGTAAATGGTGCTTCTCACGGGGCTCATCGATCATGGAGTTACTGGTTCGGTATCTTGATAGGAGGAACTCCGTTAGGTAAGATTATTATTATTATTGTTATTATTATTATTTTTTTTTAATTATGAGTAATAATCCCATTTAGGAGTTCAATCATCTGCCCGGTCTCACTCTCAAAGTGACTAAAACAGAAACTAAGCTAAAGTTCCCTCTCCCCCCTCTAAAACTCGCTAGAAAAACTTTCACAGAAACGTGCAGTACGAAGAGATTGGTGCTGTGTCTGCGGTTGGCAAACGACTGAGAAAATATTGAAAGAAGGCCCCGCACTGACTGATTTACTTTGGACTTGAACCTTGGAAAAACCCTGAAAGCAGGCACTGTACTCTCTGTGTGAAGTTGGTTTTTTACCCCCTCACAAAACATCTGTTACTTGGGAAATAACTGCTCTCTCACAGTGTCACTTCTGCATTTTCTTCCGGAGAGCTTTCCGTTGCTTTCTGCAAAGGAAATAGGTTAAAAAGGTAGAGACTATCAGCTTGCTTTAATGTTTGTCCTCTGCAGCACCACTTTGTTTACACACAAGTAAGGTCCATCTACTCCTGCCTGATGTTCCTGTTTTCATTGCAGCTCTGACATGACTCAGGATCTTATCAATGAGGAGACCCTGAGAGATGACCTGAGATACTACTTCATGAGCCCCTGTGAGAAGTACAGAACCCGTCGACACATACCCTGGAAAATGGGAGTCCAGATTCTGAAGATCGTCATGATCACTACACAAGTATGTATAAAGAACAGCCTCAAGTTAGGATGATAATGCTGCATCTGTTACGCACCTATTCGGGGAAAAATGTGAACATGTACCTGAGAGATTTCTCTAAACAAACTAAACCTAAGTTTCACACCCCTGAAACTCCAGCAAAACAGCCAATCAAATGACAGCAACTTGTTAAGGGAACTAGATGAAATGGATGCAACTAGATGAAATTCAAACAGCACATTGAAATGGTGAGAGGGGATTCAAAGTGATTTTAAACCTGATGTAGATATTGTTTTCAGAACAGCTTGAATATGGTGTACCATCTCGAAGTGCAAACCCTCTAGCCTGATTGGCTACAGCAGCAGAGCATCATGTGCGGTGCCTCCTCTGCCAGCTAATAACAGGAAACTGAGCCAAAATTGGACAAAAACAGAATGTAAAATTATTTCCTGCTCTGCTAAGTCCATTTACTTTGACAAGGTCAGAATTAAGGGAAAAAAATGATCAGAAAGTGTTCATTCATCCTACCTGTATCAATGGTTTAAGCTGCTGGTGACGGTTTAGTGGTGTGGGAACACATGATTGACCCCATTTGTGCAGATTCTTAGCATTGTTTAGATGCCACAGTCCAGTGTGAGTTTTCATACGCTGACCGTGTCCGTCACTTAATGACCACTGTATAGCCATCATCTGATGACTTGGCCAAACTAGCGAACACTCAGACTGTTGGTGTGGACAAAGACACAAGTTGGATGCGAGTCTTGCTGAGACTCGCAGCCCAGCTGAGGACTCTAAAATTCACTAACGGGATGCAATCGATCTTGGAGAAGTTGCTAGTTTTGGCTCAGTGGAACGACCAAACTAATTTGGATAATTGGTAACTGAGATGTATCGGAGAGACTTTAGGAAAGATTGAAATTTATAATCTACCCGACCTAAGACATTCTGCTTCTGAATTGGCTTTCCCTGTGTGACCTTGGAAGGGCTGCATATTTCCAATCTCCTTGAAGAAATGTCAAGATAACGCTCCTTCCCACCTCACCCCCTCCTGTTGTCCATGCAGCTGTGGAGCTGAGTGCTCTCAAGGACGTTCCTTGATAACAACACCTTTATCGGACTTCTACCGGGAGGCTCAGCCACCTGGTTTCATGGCCCTGTGACGTCACCGCCTTCACTTATGTCTTTGTTTTGTCTGAATGTTGCCATTTGCCCTAATGTGTTCTTTCCTCTTTTTTTATTTTCTTAGGTTTGTTATTATGTTTTGTATTTCCTTTTAATTGCCTTGTTGCTGAAAATGTGCTATATAAATAAAAAAAATACCTTACCTTACTTCCTGCAGAATGGTGCACCATAAATTTCAAATCAACTCAAATTGGTTTCTTGTATATAACCATAGCTTCCCTGTCCTCAAATGGCCTCCAGAGTCACCAGATTTGATGGGACCCAACCCACCCCACGGGTTACTGGAGCGCACCCCTGCCTCCCGAGCCACTGCTCCAGACATAATCAATATTCAGCTCAAAATCCAGTTCTCTGATTCAGTCTGTTCCCTCAAAATGGCTCAACCTTTCAGAGGAATATTTCCCACAACTTAATGAATTGATACCATGAAAAACCTAGACATCTTTGGGGATAAAAAAACAAACAAAAGTAAATTACCCTCCTGAATAATGCTGTTTGTTTGGCTTTGGTTAAATGTCCACTTTCCATTTCTTTCTTTCTAGCTCATCCTGTTTGGCCTCAACAACCAGCTGGTGGTTGCCTATAAGGAGGAAACCACCATTGCCCTGAAAAACCTTTTCCTGAAAGGATACACTGGGGCGGATGAGGATGACTATAGCGTAGCTGTTTATACACAGCAGGCTGTGTTTGACAGCCTCTTTTACATCCTTGATCAGGCAAGTACAGAAATTAAAGCTGCTGTTTGATTTTTGTGTTTTGATGGTTTTTAGAATAAGGAAAAAGAGACTTTTAGGAAACTTAATGTGGGAGACTTGCTTTAACTGTCTAGTTTGTAGAAAATTTTGTCTCAGTTACTAGTTTATATAAATTATCCCTGCGATGTGAGCATTATGTTTCCTGGAATCTGAGAAGAATCCTGCACATATTAGACACGACTGCAGTGCAGAAACTGTATAATAATTAAGCTGCATAATAATCCTCTGAATACACTTTGTGATCTCATAAAAACAGGAACTGACTAGAAAATGGTGCTCTTATGTAACCTTTGCACTAATTCTGACTTTTTCGAACACCTATTTGTCACTTGTTAAACTTAATTAGGATTTTTTTTTTATAAATTTGAGATGAGGCTCAATTGCAAATGTTTATCAACAAAACAACGTTAGTCATGTGGTCCAGAAGAAACCCATTGTTGAAAGAAAACCATAAGAAATCCATGTAGGAGATTAAACAAACTAGAAGCTGCTCTTGTTATAAGATGGTGGAATTATGCAATGTCCTAGTCAAAGAACACATTGTTTTTTTTTAAGAACTTTCCATGAGTCAAATTTATGACTAGATGTTCTTTGTCCAAGCTAAAGATAGCTGGCTAAAATTAACTTTAGCTATCTTGCAAAGAGAACAAAACTGTCTAAATGTGAAGTAACTTGCAACTGAAGTGAGAGTTTTTTTAAAATGATTTTAAGTGCTAACATTTTAAACGATTCTTTATAGAAATGT